AATACTTTCAACAAGCCATTTTGCTTCATTACCATAAACATTACTCACAATCCAAATAGTTTTGCCTGTTTCCGTATGTAAAACATAAAGAGGTCTGAAACTGTTTAAATTGCCAACCCAAGCTGTCGTATTTTTTAAATGTGATATTAAAGATTGAGGTACGTGTTTTAATTCTTTCGATGAAGCATGTTGAAGTATATGAGACATTATAGTATTGGCATAACCATAGATAACTAAATCAGCTCTTGGTAAAGCATTAATAATTGTTTTGTAATTCACTCTTTCATTTGTTTTTCTTCTAATTGTTAAAAAAATTGGATTATGATTTGTTGCTGCTCGCACAAGTAATTGAATTTTAAGTAAACTTTCATAACCACCTAAATTTAATATTAAAATTGACAATGTATTCCTATAATCAACAACGCCAATAAAATGAAATCGAAGTGGTTTTTGCCATATGATGCGATAACCAGCATGAGTGACCCATGAAATGGCTTCATCAGATAACATATCTGTCGCAATGAATTGTTCTGCTTCATTCATCTCTTTTGAATAATTTGGCCAAAGATTTTGAGTTAAATATTTAGGAATATTTAATGCATGTTCACTTGTAAAATCAACGTTCAAAGCTTCATCCAAATAACCATTTGTATAAGTATACGATGATTTCTGATCAAATACCTGTTTTGAATACGTATTAGTATACGAACTTCCGAAAATAATTGAAATTGTAATACAATAATTAATATATTTTAAATTAATAGTATGAACCATAATTATGGTAGATTTCTCGAATGACAATGAAAATAGTCTACTTGACGAAATAATAAACATCGACATTCCAAAACTACCTTTAAATACTTCTCGTAATTTTAGGCGTTGTTATCAAAATATCTTTCTTTTAAACTACATGCAAATATTTATCTTTTCATTGATAAATGGAATAGAATACGGGTTACCAAAAAGCAAAGTGACCTTATCTGAAAACATTGGATAAGGAATAAAAAAAAAATTTTTCTCTTGGTGTGCACACTGAAAAAAAACAAGGTATTCTACCAAACCCATCAAAAAGGTTTCGTAGGTGTCCAAAGCTTCCAAATGTGTCGACATGTTCAAAAAAATAGTTTTCAAAAATCTGCGAAACCAAAAAAGGATCGGTCGGTGGGCACACACTCCGAACCCTCACCATGGAACCTTTTTAAGTTTCGTCACAAAATACGAAACTTTAATGGATTCGTACAAAACCATAGTGCGAAACCTTAAGGTTCCGTATTTTCTGGCGAACCTTTATTGGAACCGTGCGAAACTTAA